GTCAGACTTTGTTAGGGTTTAAACAGATGTGTTTTATTAAATGCACCTCAAACTAATTACTTTCAAAACTTCGCGTTCTTTGTCATTGTCTCTTTAACTTTATAAGCGCTGCAACATTAGGAAATGTGTTGAATAATTTTAAATAAGCAAAACGTTATCGACCCTGCATTTACTCCTATAACTTTATTTTCTGAATAATGAGTCAGTCAATATTTGAAGAAATTTAAAATATATATATATTTTTTCAGAATTTGGTGGAGAGTTTACAGCAATGCTGGGAGATCAAGCTATTCTTCCCTGTAATATAACAATACCAAGGTTCAAGAGGCTATTTCCCTGATTATGTGGTATAAAGGGGAGTCCGAAGTTCCTATTTACACCATGGATTCGAGAAAAGGTACACTTCGAAACGCTGTACACATAGTCGGAGACGAGCTTCGCCCTCGTGCTCACTTTGATGTTGCCGAGCATCCACCGCTACTAAAAATCGAACCTGTTCGAGAAAATGACGCTGGGATGTACAAATGTCGCGTAGACTTTCGGTGGTCCAGGACCATGTATCAAGAAGCCTTGCTGAACGTCATCGGTGAGTCAAAAAATATCAGAAGATCACGCACTAACCATGCATTTATGTACATAATAGCATTTCAGTGCGTTTATTATTATCGTCTTAACATATAATTTTTAATAGACGTAGAAAATACTTGTCTATAGTTTCAGAACGTTTGCGTCAAGCTAAACAAGCGCGGTCTGCATATAAATATTCCTAATTTTGAACGGCTAAACTAAAGGTAAGGTAGCTGGTAAACAATGTCCACTGCAAACTTTTGGGCTACTTTAGCCTAGCCGAACAATGGGATTTGACCTTCATTTTTTATAACACACCCACATCTCCAAAGTAAGGAACACGTTTTTTGAAGCAACTGTGCCTAATCTCCAAAGTAAGGAACACGTTTTTTGAAGCAACTGTGCCTAAAAAAAAAATCATGAGCATTTCAATTCCCAGTGTGGGCACGCTGACAACTGGGCCACACCCAGTACGCGTTAGCGAAAACAATTTCAAATTTATTTATACTTTAACGTTTATCTGGAGAGAAATGTTAGGGATAGTTATAAAATATTTACATTTCTTTACTTCAGTAACTAAAATGTTACCTTTTACGTCAGAATTCCCATAAAACTAAGAAAAAAAAATGTTGTAAATGTATTATATTGTTAATTAAATGCAATCTAATACTTCATTAGACATAATTTCATCATTTAAAGGAGCAGTTCGAAAATTGAATACAGTCGTTAAGATGAAGATAACAACATTTCGGCCAAAACGATAGTCACTGTTCTTTCGAATAGTTTGATCATATTAAAATTCATTAAGTTATTCAGTTAATTTTTAATATTTTGTAGTTCCAAGTTTTACGTTTAATTGAAGGCGTAGATAAATTTATAAATATATTTAACGAAAAATATATATATAGTTAAATATTCTTAATGTTTAGACATTCATTTTCAAGTTCTAAACACTATAAAAGTTAACTAAGCGTACTTCAATATATAGTATATACAATATACAGTAAATAATTTTGTTAAATAGGACATAGCTATTAAATTCTAGAAAAGTCGAGCTACTGCCAGTGTGTTCTGTATTTACTATTTTATTTTACACAAAGGTTTGTTGTTCTCGAGCAAATTATTCCTACATACGAGTAGGCGTAATTGTTTAGCAGGCTATTGTTGATGATATATTTATTTACGGAATTTGTTTTAAGAGATACTTCGTGGGCCGAGTGTTGTACATGAACGAAGGTTACGTAGTTCGTGCCCCGTTAACACCCCCCCCTCAAAAATAACATAAAAATCACGCTTTAAACTTTAGGGCTGTAGTTACATTACATTAATGACGTTAAAATCCCATTATACAATTAAATTAGCCACACGTTGGCTGCGGATGGTGCTTTCTTTCTAATGTACCATTTAAAAATAAAAAGTGACTAACACAGATAGCCCCATAAATAGCTTGATACAAAATACAACAAACAAAAACAACATGAAATAAATTGATTTTTATAATAGAGCATGAAACGGAAGTCAAAATGAGTTAATAGATTGTATTAAGAGTGATATGATATTTTGTAACTAGTGTATGGATTATATTAAGAGTGATATGATATTTTGTAACTAGTGTATGGATTATATTAAGAGTGATATGATATTTTGTAACTAGTGTATGGATTATATTTTGAGGATTATATTACAAAAGTAGCATTACTTATAGGACGAATTTGTGAGGTAGCAGAAAACAAATAATTTTAGCTTCGAGTTTCTTAGTTGCAACATTGTAATGCTTGTTTATGGAATCAAACCTTCAAATTCCTCTCACGTCAACGAATAATGGAGATTGTTGTTGCTAATATACCACGTCAACGAATAATGGAAGTTCTTGTCAATATACATACCATGTGAGTGAGTAATGGAGATTGTTGCTGTTAATATACATACCATGTGAGTGAGTAATGGATTTTGTTGCTGCCAATATACATACCATGTCAACGAATAATGGAGATTGTTGCTGCCAATATACATACCACTTCAACAAGTAATGGAGATTGTTGCTGCCAATATACATACCACTTCAACGAGTAATGGAGATTGTTGCTGCCAATGTACATACCACTCAACGAGTAATGGAGATTGTTGCTGCCAATATAAATACCACCTCAACGAATAATGTAGATTGTTGCTGCCAATGTACATTCCATGTGAATGAGTAATGGAGATTTTTGCTGCCAATATACATACAAAGTTCATACTTTTCATTATAATGTGTCAGTACTTCTGTTTCTAGCAAATTTTACAAAATCGTAATGCATCAACACTAAAATAATGACACTGTCTTTCTGAGAAGATTATCGTTAAAAAATGAAATTCAATCGAATTCTATCTGAAGAATCATCCAAACTAGTTCTTCAGTAAAATAGAAAATGTTTTCTTAGGAAGTGTTACATAGCGTTCTGAAAGACACTCACTATATTAACTCTAGTCTTTGAGATGAATTTGAGTATGGAAAACCCAAAAGTAGAAAGAAAGAAATAGCGAAACCCATTCTTTCCAATTGTAACTTAACCTTTTAAGTAAAATGTCTACTGCTATACATTGAGAATTCGTTTAAGAGATGTGACCGATATACAATTTTTATTTTTATACCTTCTGTGCCTAAGAGCTTTGCAGCTTGCGCTAAACTATTAACAGTAAGTCGTTCTGACAAAAGTTAAATATACATTGAAAACGAATATAAAAACTAAAAAGAAAAGTCTCACTAGAAATGTAAACTTTCATAAGACAGCATTATCTTATAAGGCATTTTTTTTGTTGGTGAAAATAGTCATGTAATGTATAATGCTTGGAGACGGCTTGAATTGGTAATGAAGAAAAACTTTATATAAGTTTAACATAACAGCAATGTACAACGTTTCGACAAGGTTCTGTCATCATCAGAAACAGTCGTGGGAGG